TAAAATTGGCACAAGGAAGAATTTAGCAGATTTTCATGTGCTTCTCATAACATATGTTGTTGGATGTTATCCACATTGCTGACTGTTCAGTCATCCCCGAAGGTGCAGTGACACATGGAACAGCCCACCTTCAGCTCCCTGGGGGGCTTGCAGTGAGGTCATTAGAAGGGAAAATCCGTATTTTACCTTTTAACCAAGCATGTAGGGTTTGGAGTTGAACAGCCCATAATGACAGATTTGCAGAGATGCTAAAGACATAAAATTCACTTAGACACAGCAGCCTGTAACCAATTTTATTTATTGATGATACTCAATATTTACAGCAGACTGTAAACCTGACTAGTTTACTATGATGACCAGTTCTAGCTCATTATTCACCTGACCCCTGTGTCAGGTGAAAAACAGTCTGTGATCTTAGCACCTGCGGCTCTTTCTCAGAGAAATCCTGACTTCTGTTAAAGAATGGTTGACATCTGTCTTGTTTTGTCAGGAACAAAATCAATAGCACCTAGCCAAAAAACAAAGGCATAATTTTGAGAACAGCACTGGCATCACTTTGGTTTGATAGGGACGCACTTATCAACAAAATTAACATGCCTCGTGCAGAATTCCCTATACCTGTCCAGTAAGACAAACAAAATCACAGAACTGCAAACAGTAGATCCAGCAGCCCCCCTGCCTCGCAGACAACTGATCGTTCAGTTGGACTGTGTCCACCATTTGCAGCAGTGTTTCAGAGCCCAGAATTCAAGCGTGCTCATTACAAATTCACTGCAATTTTTGGCCCTGAGTTTCTGACGCTGTCACTGGTTATTTCTGTATAAGAAGAGGACTAACTGAAATGTGGTGCAGGGGCTGGATTTCAGCTCCCCATGAATGTGAGCGTGGGAGAGAGGCACAATAGGAGTCTCACTAAGGCCCACCCCAAAGTCAGAAAAACCTAAAGTGGAAACATTTTGCTTTTCTGCATAAGCAGTTTTTTTTCTTTTAGCTCTTACTTTCTCCCCACCTGCCCTAATCCCATTTACTAGCACTATTTTCATGCTGGGTACGCAGACAGGAATCCGAGGCACACTCCCTCTCTTATTCAAACACAATTTCTGGCATTAGTCTGTGACTGGCTTTCTTAGTCTCTACCTGTAACGAGAATGGCTAATAGGCAACAATTACAACGAAGGCCACTCTTTTTTCAGGCTTACAGTTTTACTACTCAGAATGCTCTTACTGTGAAAAAAAAAAATTTCTGTTGGCTTTGCATGCATAATATTTATCCATACTAGCCTCCACGAGAGGGAGCGGCCGGTGTGGAGGGCTGGCGGGTTCAGAACCTCCCTCCTGCGTACATCCCGCACCGAGCCCAGCTCCACGGGACCTTGCGCAGCCCGCAGGAGCTGGTACGCAGCCAAGGCTGGGCTCTGCAGGCAGCTGGGAAGCAGCCACAGCCCAGCTCCGAGGCCCAGGAACATGCACAAAGGTGGAAAGGAGCAATGTGGGCTTATAAGATCCTGCTGGTCCATTCCTCACCCCCCATTTCTAGGGAAAAAAAAAGAGAAATAATGTGACCAAAGTCTCTGTGGTGAATCCTCTGCCGCATCCCTGCCTGGAGATGCTGGAAACTGCGTTTGCCCTCAGAGTGAAATACAAGAGACGGGGACAGAGAACACCTGCATGCTTCTCACTTGCCGACAGGAGCATAGTTTAAGCAAACAGCTTTCCGAGGACCTTTCTCCAGCAACCTAGTGAAGCATGAACAGGGCAGCTAATTGTTGGGCTGAATCGATTGCCTGTGCTGCGCTAAGAGGAGTCATGTTAAAAACTGGAAGCAGCATGTGAAATTATATGCGACAGAGGCAGAGAGAGCAAGGAGGCTGGAATCTCTGGTGTTAAACCTTTACTACTCCAAGTAGTAAAATGTTCAGATGTTTGGAGATCAGAGCTGAAGAGCCTGCACCTTCCTATGTACTGAAACCTTTGCCTGCAGCAAATAGACATAATCAAATTAGTGGAGGCTATTAAGCACTGGCAATAAACAGTCCTTGAACATATATATAGGAGTGTAGAGTGCGGTTTAATAAACTGGGGAATTTCTTTCATTCTCACCTGTTTTATTTGTAGGTTGCTGCTCATTTTCCTTCTAGCAGTAATGGTAAATTCAAGATCAGTTTGTCAGTAATGCATGTACTTTTTTTTTACTTATTCTTAGAATTTTCGTTATTGCTACCTCCATATACTCTGGTCTCTCTTTTATTTAATTTACAATGAATATTTTTGGGAAGATTTTATTTTAGGAAAGCTAACCATCTGGCTTTCCTCCTGTTGCGTGCGTGCGTGCGTGTATGTGCACACAGGCTATCTCAGTAGTGCTAGAGCAGGTGTTACTCAATGATATATTGACACTGAAATTAATATTTATTCTCAAAGCAGTCATTGTGCATCATATCCCTTCATTACTATGGAACAAAGACAGTTTCCTTCTCTAAGCCATCCTGCAAGAAGATCTCTGTTTTGATCACCAGCCCCAGTATGTGGCACAACTCAGTTTCAGTCACTGGCGCATTAGACACCTTTGGTCTAAAGGAAACAGGTAAAAAATAACATCTAAGTCATCTCACAGGTTGTCATGCGACATAACTAGTAGTATAAATACTGCATAAAGTAAAATAAAAACAAATTAAGTCCTTTAATAATGCAACAATTTTATCCTCTATTAATAATAAGGGTTATCTTAATGTATTTATTCTAAATGTACAGCAGTTACGCTAGTGACACTAAATCATCTTAAATACGTAGCCAAAGAAATCACTGCTGAGAACAATAGCAGCTTAAATTCCACAGACGATTCAGCCACTTCAGATTTCTTGTGTCCCTTTGTCTGTTCTCAGTCTCTCTATCAATGACAGTATTTATAGTGTGCTGTCACATGTTGAGGAAACTTGGACACTTTAAAGCTACAAGAATAATTATAAGTGAGACAAAAATGAGCACCCTGGAGAAGCAACAATAAGAAAACCAGAAGGCTTTTGGAAAGCAGTGCATTTTATTTCCACATCTCATTCTGCAGTCTTCCGCTGATGCTATTAAAAAAACCTCAGCACGAGGCAACTTTTTTATTTTACTATGCGACAAGTCTCTTTTACTGAAAAAGGGGATTGCATTTGCCAAAATCCCATTTTTAATTTAGGGAATTTACAGGTATAAACGGAATACAATATAATCACATTTTTACTATACATGCAAATGTACAACATTGAAACAGCAGCTTTTGTGACAGTCAGACCTGCTAGAATTTCCATATGTTTATACTGACACTTCAACAGCAAGCAGCAAAACATTAAACTCCCTCCAGGGAGAAGCCCTGTGATAGGAGTGCAAGAGAAGAGCTCTCGAGAGCATGTGCCCAACAGGTACTGTTTGCTGCAAGACCTACGACCGCCGTTCAGGTGGTGAAAAATTCCGTGTTTCTGGTGGAGACAAAACACTGAGCACAGTGAGAACGGATCAGAAACGTAGGTTTCTCTTCAGCCATCTGCACGCATTACAGTGTGGTTCAATAACGTAATAAGTTTAGCAAAACAGCAACTATAAGTCATAGACACAAACTTCCTCACTCTAAGATGCATTTGACTAACAAACTAACAAAACCCCTGTTGCATTAGCCTACAAATAACAAATAGTGCGTTACTGAAAAAAAATGCCTAGTGGAGCTTGAATGGAAAGTAAATGTTGTATTTCAGCACACAGCCAGTATCTTTCAGCGCTTCAGCACAAGCTATACACTAAGCGTGATGTACAGATCTCCATGCCATGGCCTCACAGCTCAGCAGCTGCAGGCATTTGGTCAGCAAGTCCCTTTATCCACCTTTTTAAAAATCCATGTGTGATACCAGGTCATCCAACTTCTGGATTCAATGTTTAAAAAAAAAATACTATTGCACCTTGATGTTTCTGTCCGTATTTAAGCTGACAAGAAGCTAAAGCTTGCCTAGAGAACAGTTTTTGCAAATATTCCCTGCTGGGTAAATTGCTTATTTCTGTGAACAGTCCCGCTGATTTCAGTGACAAATACACTATGAGGCTAATACAGTCTGCTAGATTTAAAAAGACATTGGGCTAGGCACTGCTTAATTAGGGCTGTGGGAATAATTGATTTTCAGTTCAGTGACTTAATAAATAAAAATCATAATAATAATGACGACAACAACAACAGCAACTTGGGTTGACTGAAACCCATTTTTTTCAGGAAATGGTAACAATTTGTTTCGGTCTATGGGCGGGATGGTGCACTGGTAGGGGCACTCTTTTGGGGTGAGGAGGACTCAGAGTCAAATCCCTGCTCTGCCCGTCCCTGAGCACAGGTTGGACACCAGGTCTTCCATCTCCCAAGGACTATCCTATCCCCAAGCTAAGGGATACTCAACTGTTTGTTTTCCTCGTCTTTCCTTTTGAATGTATTTAGCACAAAATATCAGCATATTAATTAGAAGAAACCCCGGAGCGCCTGCTTCCTGCTTCCCACAGGAGCGCTGCAGCACACAGGGTCGAGAGTCGGTTTTTTTACCCCTCGCGGCCCAGCGAAGTAGTTTGGGTGAAGGAGAGCAGCTCCATGAGAGACGCAGGCGTCTCGGCGCTGCGGGCACCGTGCAGCCCTGTCTGTGAACGCGCAG